AAATTGTTTGGTGTTAGTTCGGCAGGCATGAGAACGGAAATGCGAGGAACTTCTAGTATTATAATTATGAATATTGCTACTAGTAACACTCAGCAGAGAATTATCCACCCATCTTTACAAACGCACTGAATAGGGCTGAAGCCTAAATCGTTGTCCTAGATAGAGACTGTTGGAGAAGGATGATTTCCTGCCTTGTATTCCAATTTGGAAAAAGGAAGTGATGATGATCATGAATGTAGTGTTCCCTCGAATAATAGCTGTGTCTCGATTAATCCCCCCCTTTAGACGGAGATATTTAAAATAATCGCCTCCCTTGAATAATTCCCCCTACCCCTCTTGCCTTCTTCTCTTTCTTTTATCCCCTCCCTGCCAAGTTAAAGTAGAGTCTGACCAACGAAACTGATCTGATGAAACTCTTAAAAAGCCCATATGTGACCATTTTTCTTGTTTTAATGATAAAAGGCCCGCTTTTTATTTACATCAGCCACAAACTCAAGCCGGAACCATATTAGTAGTACGGCTATAAAACGCAAAACAAATACCTCACAGACGGCGCCGTAAAAGTAAAACCAAACGAAAACCGTTTTTCCATTCGTGTTTTCCCGTGTTTGAGGCGCCTAGCTTGCCGTGGAGTGGGTATTTAGTTTTTCCTGCAGTCGCCCATCTTTAATGATTTTGAAAAGAAGGCGCCAAAACATGAGGTAGGGGAAGGGGAAGGAGAAGGTAAGGTTTCCTTGGGTATCTGCACTTCTCGTGCCCCTGTTTCCTTGTAACTCGTCCTAGCCATAATCCTAGCAGACACCATCCCTCCCCCGCAAAAAACCGCCTGTTCACCGCAATCTGGGATGGCTGCATGAATGTTCTTCGACAGCCGAATGGTTGATCGTGATTGCTAGACTTTGATTTGGTTTTTGACGAGTACAGTATGACAACTCCATCGCTGTATAAGTTTACTTTCGTGATATTTGTTGTCTACTGATTTCATTTTAAGAAGTTCATCAGATCAACAATCTAGGAGAGTCGGAGCTAAAAAACAACAAATTAAACAAAACAAAACGAAACAAAACTAAACCGGGTAATGAACACTGTTGTAGATCCCAGGATCAAATTTTTCTGCCTTTTTTCCACAGAGTTCCGTGGTCCTGTATGTCTGACAGATAAGAATTTGTAGTCGATTGAAAAATGCATTCCTCGAGCTCGAACTAACGGTACATGATTGTTCTCCGTTTAAGTCACGCTTTCCTTTCTGTGGTAACAATCCAGTGTCACAGTTATATGGGCATCCCCGCGTTTTGGGCATCCCCATTCCCAAAACCCTAGTAATATGGACATCCCCTTCTCATATTACCTTAGCGATTTGGGTTACGGTTAGGGTTACAGGGGATGCCCATATCAAGGGTTTTGGGAATGGGGATGACTAAAACCCGAGGATGCCCATATCACCGTGACATCGGCATTTTAGAAATATGAGAAAACTGGGTCGAGTTAACTTTCGTAAAGACTTCTGGGACTGTCACTTGGGCCAGAGAAAAAGATTGGCCAATAGAGAACTTGAGCAAAAGCGCTTTTGAGCGACACACGTCAACCGGAAGTGGACTTTTTACATTCCTGAGCAGTAGTCTGGGCCCACATTTTCAGTTAACTCCTCTCTTCAAGTCTAAAGAAACTAAGTAATTCAAATTTTATAGCGTCAAGGCATAGTCCTCACTTCCGGTTGACGTGGAAAACGCCTGCTAAAGTTCCCTAATAACTGCCCCGTGCGTCCCCAGTAGCAATCCCAGAAACAATCGCGGGACAATTTCGGCACCAGTTTCCTTCTCGTTTCTAAATTGACGTAAGTGTGACAACACATGTAACGCAAAGTTGACTTGCACCAGAATGTAGTGAAACTATTTATACTATCCATAGTATTTTCTAAATTATTATTAATATTGATTCTCACTATGTCACGTTTCTGTTATACCAACAGTCACATTCTCTGTCCTCTTGTCAGTAAACTCCACAGTTTTTTTAAAATTAAATCACTGTGATCACTGTGTGTCTGCTTTAATTGAGCTTTACACTGACGTTAGTTCATTGTCAGTTTCTTGTTAAACACTCTTTTTGAAAGCACTAAGCCAGTCGCAGCAAACCTCTTCCTATATTCCCCATTCCAGTATCCTGTCGCCCGCCCAAATACGCCTGCACTGCAGACAAAATTGATATTTTCTCGGCAGGTGAAAAAGGAGCCGAAAAAAGCGTCTGCTCCCCGCAGGTTAACATTCCAGAAACTATAAAGGAAATGGATACAAGCTTTCGGCGCAAGGATTTCTGAGATCTCTGAGGGAGGACAAGCGCCACTTATGATTGCTAAAATACCGTCGACCATTCGTAACTACCGCTTGTCCAAAAAATGACCCCAGAAATCACTTGTACCCTTTCTTCCTCGAGTTTCTGAAGAAGGGAATTGGCTCTGCGAGTAAAATAAATTATTTTGGTCTGAAATTGGGCAAAGTTTTCAGAAAGCTTGCCACGCTGATATCACCTTCATTTTCCAAGAGTCATCATTCTGGGCAGCCAACGGTCCCTTCTGCAAATTATACCACCAAGCCTCGTTTGTGAACGATATTCTTCTCATTGACACTTTCTGTGCAGAAGTATTCTTTTCAACCTTAGCTTTTTATTCACGTAAACCGTTGCGAACTTGCGCTAAATTGGTTGGCTTGGTTGTGTGAAATTTGCTCGTCTGCGTAAACATGCATATATAAAGGGCTATTTGTGTAATTTACAGGGACAGAATACCAGAACCAAAAATCCAAGTAAACCACTTAACACGGTGCGCGACATAAAACGAACTCGACGAGAAGTGAAGGAAGTAACATGAACAGATTTATTGAACCAGAGATCAATGTTCCTAGCACAGAGGTCACAACTTGACACAAGAATCGACGGGGTCGATTGACAATACAAAAGGTCCCTAAGTTGTGAAATCGGTACAAGTCGTACAAAGTCAGTTCGAACTGAAAACGATAAAATCGAACCATTACTTAGCTAAAAATACATAGAGTGGAAATATATCTGAATAAAAACCGATAATACCAAATAGCGAATGAGAACTAAATAACACTAGAAAATACAGTGAAACCTGTATTTAATTAAGCGGACACCCTCGGGGAATGCTGTAGTGTCCACTTAATACAGGGTGTCCGCCTAATACAGGTTTCGATATTATAACGTCATATGAGGTGTCAAATGCCATTCAAATGAACAGTGGAAGCGTTTATAATACTCCCAGAGACTATAACGATAGACGTTTGCATTAATTTCTTTATCAAAGTGAACCAATTGATCGTAGTACCTTAAACATGGATTGCAACTCAAATTTGAAGACATCAGATGAGTGAAACAAGCTCTATACAAACAAAACGAAATAGAAAACAATTAGGCTGTACTGTGAAAGTAATCGAATAAGTTCGTCAAGTCACGTTTTTTAACGTAAAAATCGAAAAATTTGTGGGTGGCAATTCGAGGCAATCTTTCGCATTTGTGGTGTCTGGCATGTTGGGTGGTGGAATTTAATTACAAGTCTCCGTTTAATACAGGTTGGCAACAATAGAAATGACCATTTCAGAAACTTTTTAGGTGTCCGCGTCCACTTAATAGAGGCGTCCGCTTAATAAAGGTTTCATTTAAAGTAACTAAGGGAAATAAATTTGGGACTTCGGCCACTGTCCGCTTAATAGAGGGTGTCCGCTTAATACGGTGTCCGCTTTATACAGGTTTCACTGCCTATAAGGTGATTAAAGTGATATAACGATAAAACTACTGGCATCAAACACTCAGCATACTCATGTTGAAGAGTAGCGCGTACGAACCCCTATAAAACCACTGTAGCTCAGTGATGACAAGACTTTTTGATTCAAGATTACACTGGTGTGTGTGTAAACCAAAGTGAGTATAGTTTTTTTTTTTCCGTTTAGTCTTCCAGTATCATGCCCGCCAATTAATCCTAAAAAAATATTAATACTATAGCCTAAAAAAATTCATACAAGGAATTTGATAACGAAAAAAAATTCCTGCGGCTCGAAAATTTTCCTCCCCAACCCCCCCCCATAAAATTTCTAATGCTCCGTTCCTTATAGTTTCTGGAATGTTAACCTGCAGGGAGCAGACGCTTTTTTCGGCTCTTTTCTCACCTGCCGAGAAAATATCGATTTTGTCGGCGGGTGAAACAAGAGCCCAAATAGCGTGCAGTGCAAACTCTTCTTATTTGTCCTTCATAACCTTTTGTAAACACCAAAAAAGCTAAGCTGAACTTGATAGTTGATGAACACGAGTGTAGATAGAAATGAAGCCCGAATGGCTGAAGTTAACACCATGAAGTCTACACTAGAACTGAACTAAGATGAAAACGCTAAATTTGTAATAAACAAAACGTGCTTGGAAACGATCTAGAAATTATTACGTATTTCCCATGCGGACATAAGGAAAAAAGGGCTGGGAAAGTAGCCGTGGGCTTATCAATAAAAATCATCATCTATGTAGGCTATAATCGATTTATAATAACTACCGTAAGCGAGTTCGTGCACCAATAAGGGATAACGAAAAGAAATCACGTTTCAAAACCAACGATTTGCTTTTGACCTTGTGGAATATATACTAAGCCCAATACTGTGTTACAAAAGGTTATGAAGGATAAATAAGAAGAGTTTGTTTCCTTTCAAACGACAATCAAAAATAACCCAACGAGGGGGATTGTGAAAAAGCAACTGGCGGGATAATTCCATGTACATCTCGACATGACACTAGGACTACGTACAGGAAATCCTTGAATTGAGGGATATCCAAGTAATTTATAAAAAATAAAAAAAATAAAAAAAAAATAAAAAAGTAATTTATACCCCTGTTTATCTGGGCTAGAATTGAATTTACAGGATCAAATTATCCTGGCAACTTTCCACTGACTTTCGTCTTCATGTGTGTGTGACACTCGGCAAACGATCTTGAAGTTACACTGAGAAATGGCGTCGGTCAACTCTTCGAAGTCCCATCGATTCGTTGATTTCCTCCCTTCAATTAGGCCATCTTTTCTTTCAGTGGTGCTACTTTTTGTTTGCGGATGTCTCTGGGTGAAGAATGAAACAACCAACGAGCGACTGATAACATTGGAAATGCGCATCAACATGTCTCCAGTGGTTCTTGTTGATACTGGCTGCACTAAGGAAAACTGTGAAAGAACGACTCGTAGGCCAAAAGAAGATTCCACGAGATATCTTTTAAAGAAAATTCAGAGAGAAAGCAAGTTCAGCGATACATCAGGTTAGGGGTTAGATCACCAGAGTACAAAAAAATTTCCCTTGTTTTTTTAAACTAAGCTTATTGTTGGGGGAATTTCATTTAAGCCATACAAGCGTGTGTGGAGCCAGCGGGAATGGATTTTTAGCTCCTAGCTTTTGGACTGAAATATGTCAAAATTTTGTGCTTGCTGGAACCAGGGCCTGGAAATCGGTATGCTCTCTTGTGATGTGTCTCTTGAGAAACGGGTAGTGTTTCAGTTCTGCGGTATGTCGCACACCCCCAGCCGACATTTTCCTGAAGTTTCTCAGGGAGCTTATCGTATTATGCGGGCAAGTTGAGTGACCCTGTGTTCGAGTCTCAAAATTGTTTGCTTAATCTTGTAAGTTCAAATCATTGAAGAATAAGTGCATATTATAAGGATATTATGAGCAGACAGCAAAGCTCCACCGGCTTTATATATAGTTTTCACAATGACGTCGTCAAATTGTAAAGTCAAAATACCGAGGTTTTACGAATTCTTATTTACACTAGGTTAAAGATAAACAAAAAATAAATCTTTGCACAAGTTTGCATTCCCGTAGCATATTTCATTTCGAACATACAGCAATTTGAACTACCGAGTTTTTACAGTGCGTGACGCCAAAATAGGAATGCTGTCTTGTTGAAAAAAAAAGCCTCTCCTCTTGATTTTTAGGAGTATAACCATTTCAAGTATTAGAAGATATGTTTATGCGCACGTATGCCAGTTCTGGAGTTAGAAGAAAGAGCTTTTTTAGAAAAAGTGAACTCCAGATGTTTTTGTTGATTTCCGGCGGCCATATTGGTGCACCAAAAATGTACACCAGTATGGCGTCTCCATACAAAGCTTTACAAAGGTGCATGAAACGTTTCGGCAAATAACTCAGAAACTGTGGGCCACAAAGACCTGTAACTTGGACAAATCGTTTATAGCGGAGCTCCACCCGTACGCGAAGCGCGCGCGTGGACGGAGCCCCATAGCTAAGGAAATGTGGTAATCTACCCATCCGAGAAAATTTGGTAATCACGTGACCGTACGCCCGACCGTCCGTCCGCACCACAGGGCAACCAATGTTTACTCTCACACTTTCTAGCCAGTTTGGTAGCCCAATAGAAAACTAATTGCACATCAACGTTGTGATCAGTTGACAGCTGTCAAAACAGGATATCCGCTGACCAGTATCACCTGACCGTAGCGCGGGCTCAAGTGTCGACCCATCGAGGTCGAGTACTTTTTTGAAGTTATCCGCTGACAAATTACCAGTTTCAAATGATCGCAGGCTCAAGTATATTTTTTCCAATGGCTCATATGAAATATGTCGTGTTTATGTCACTATGGCCCCGCACTGTCAAGATTTTGATTTCAAACTGACCTCGGACGCGAAAATTCAGCCACTTTTTTAAAAATAAAGGCGGGGAAGACCTTTTCTTACCATTGTCACGCGTTGGTCACGCTCTACGTCCAATTTTTGTACTCTGATTGGTCAAAATTTGACAGGTGAGTTCATGCTGAAAATTTATGCAGCATCTTGAAAGTTGCTTACTTTGACAGCTAAAGCTGACAGAGTTTTGTGTCAACTTGTGATGTTTTTAACTGTCTTTTTCCACTGGATGTACAAAATGAAATATAGCTGCTATCAAGAGTCTTCTGTTATCCATGGCTGGTTTGTTTATTGGGTTTTTGGTTGAGAAATGCGTCGCTTGTCAAAATTGGGTAATCCGATTTCGGATGGCATCGTTTTCGTCTTTCACCTTGCTCAATGCGTAAGAGGGTTTAAAAGTCTCAAGCAACTATGGCCTTCCTTGATATCTTTCAGGAACTGAAAGATGTTTTGATGTTTGTTTTTGTTATATCTAATTTCATGAAGTCGAGCACAGTTTATGCGGCAAGTTTTTGCACGTTTGTTAAAGATTTGAGTCAATGATCTGATCTAGTATCAGGTTTGATATAAGCTTACAGAACTTTAAAAGGCCTTCAGATAGATTTTCTCAGGGCATATAGAAAAAAAACGTTCCGAAGAATATTTAGCTATAAATTTGGCTGTAGAAAGAAAACTTTGAGTGATTTTCTTGCTTCGAGGAGTTCATCTTTGGAAAAAAAAAAAACAAACACCGGGCAGCCGGCTGAAAGTAAAAACATAGGCACGTTAAACGTGCATGAGCTATTTTGAATGCTTCAGTGTAACTTTAATGCTTCGGTGATTAATCTACCTCTTTCATCCTAAATGTAGATTGGGTTTTCATGCGAAATTGCGTATTGCGGTACATAAATGAAAACGCGAAACGCTCTGCTGAGTCGATCCTCAAGCTCTATGTTCACTTTCCTCCGTCCTTCCCTGTTACATCATGCAAGTTAAACAAATCATTAAAGTGAAATAAATTTCTACTCACCAAACGTTGATTAGAAGAAAAACTCTAAGGTTTCCTCGGAGTTTCTTAAGCCAAAATGTAACTCATCTAATACTGAATAGTTACGAAATACCAGGATTTTTATCATTGTGGTAGATGGTTGCATCATAATAATTCACGAGGTTTTCACGTGCGATTCTACTCAGTGAAACATGTCTTGAACTCCGACAACTTATTTCTTCATGTTTTAAAAGCTATTGCTTCTCAAAAGACAAGAGCCTTTTTTAAGGCATTGGTTACAAAACGAAACAGGTCTTCATACGTCCATGTTACTATTTATCATTGTGAAAAGCCAATCTGCATGAGATGTACAGTCACACAGCTGGCACGTGAAAGTGTTGGACTTTGCCCCATTTCGTCGTTCGTACATGAGGGAATTCGAATTATCATTCAGTAAACTAGTAAACAGATTTATAAAAATAACTCACGCACACAATTTGCACGTGAAGATGTTGGTCTTTGGCCCTTTTACAATTCGTACGTTAAAAAAAGGCAAATTGTTGACTATAAAATTTTCTCAAACGATTTTAAGAAATCACCTCGGCTTCATTATAACATCTGCAATTAAATTATGTTTCATGCAACGTCAAGGTTGATGCACCGTATTCACAAATGGCGGACACGCGGGAAAAAGCTGGTGCCTAGTCATGAAAGCGAGGCGTTGGAGGGTAAACAAAAATTGCAAATGATGACTTTCAGTGAACTTGCAGAGTGTTTAGCACGGATTCCACCTAAAATAACTTTTTACGGACTTCTTTTTAAATACAATTACGCGGGATGTCTTCTGCTTTTAATGTTTAGTAGCTATTTGCTGTTTGCAATCAAAAGGGACGCGTATATCTTCAGGAAACAGGATGAATTTGTAGGTTTCCGAAGCATCAGAGGCTCGAAGAGTAGGCGATTCGCTGGAGAAAAGCGGCAAACATTTTGGCCCAAACTTCTGAATTTGATAGACTCGCGTGTTATTATTGACGCTGTAATCCAGTAATTCTAAAGCAGTTTTTAGCGTTGCTTCCCTGTGAAATGTAGTGTATATAGTGAAATGTAGTATATATAGTGGAGGATCAAAAATGAGTCAAAGTGGCAGTACGACAACAAAGCCTGTGCCTGCTCCTCGAAGAGGGAGAAAGCCGAAAGAGCCGAGGGCTTTGGACAAATTGTAGAATGTGCGGCTGTTGTTTCAAAACACAGTTCGGCAATTTTACGAATGGATGGATAAGCTCGGAAAATGCGTTTGTTGCGCCTACCAGAAAAGGGGAAACATTACCAAAGTGGACCGACCTACTGAAAAACGAACTTTTCGTTGTCCTCGAGGAAGGAGAATTTTTCTCCACAAGAGCACTTTGCTCTCCGTGCGAAACAACGGTTAGAAATTGCGCAGGGAAATTGCACGGCGATGCTTTCGCAAATTAGAGAAGAACTGAACACGCCAACTGACAATGAACAATTATTGCGATTGAAAAGAATGAGTAAATCCCCTCATTCCAAACCACGTCTTGGTGATTTAGCTCTGTAAATTACTATCTGTGAGAATTTAAAATCCTTCCAAAAATGCTAACGAGCTGGGCCCAGCGTGACAAAACATTGCAGGAAAAAGTCACATTCACGGGACACAAAGAAAATGGCTTAAAATTATTCAAATTCAGGTGGCACTTTGGAGAAATGAAATAACCTAAAACCCTTAATCAGCCGCAATGAAGAGCTTTACATTTCTAAAGGGGCCAAGAAAGAAAATGCTCTTGCGTCAGAGGGCAAATCATGCCTACCAGAGAAAATCAATATGCGTGTCACGACCCGAGTCAGTATGAAATATATTTAATAAGCGGCCAAAACTCACATTTGCTCAGTCAAAACGTTTTCCTCCAAAGCATAATCTACTCAACAGAGAAAAGAATTCATTGGAACAAGCGGCATGTTTGCATGAGGTAAAAGTCGTGTGTTTCCTACCGATCCCGCTTTTTTAGCCAGGAGAGATAACAATGACGGTCGGCCGTTGCACGAAACTTGAAGAACTCTTTGCATGAACAAACATCCGATAAATAAGGCTTTTGTCAAATCCTGTTGGTAGAACACAGAAAACATCCTTTCCCCTGAGTAGCAACTCCAAAGCTTCGCTCTGCTCCGATTTTAAAACAAATCCCAATTCTTGCGAGCAAATCCAGGCGATCAACATCTGTCATTTTACAGCGAAAGCTTTAGCAATTCATCACGGTATGGAACAACGTGAATGACATGTTGAAAACATTACTTGACAGCTTGGTGACAGCCTGCATCGAAATTTAGCCAATGGGAATTGCCCGTGGCTGGGAGAAGCGGGTAATTCGAACGAATATAACGTATGCAAAACGGACAGTCCGTATTTTTAGCGTCTCTCCCCAGTCTCGCTCTCTGTTTTCAGCCTCATTCCAGACCTTTTGTTTGACTGCTCGCGCGTACTTGAATACTCAAAAATACGGACTGTTTTGCAGTCTATTGTGAATGCGGTGTATAACCTAACAAAATTTTATTAACATTTGTGAAACAGTCTTTAACTCCTACAACTTATTTCGTCATGTTTTAAAAGCCACTGCTTCTTAAAAGACAAGAGCCTTTTTAAGGCATTGGTTACTAAACGAAACAGGTCTTGATCATACGTCCAAGTTAATATTATTATTGTGAAAAGCCAATCTGCATGACATGTACAGTCACACAGCTGGCTCGTGAAAGTGTTGGACTTTGCCCCCTTTCGTGGTTCGTACGTGAGGGAATTCGAGTTATCACACAGTAATCTAGTAAAAAGAATTATAAAAATAACTCATGCACACAATTTGCAGGTGAAGATGCTGGTCTTTGGCCCTTTCACAATTCGTACGTAAAAAAGAGGCAAATTGTTTTACTACAAAATTTTCTCAAACGATTTTAAGAAATCACCTCGGTAGCTCCGATCGCTGAACTTTTTTTTCTCAGCCATCGCAGCCATCACAGCGATCGTAGCGATAATACGGAAACCACCCTTAAGTTATGCATCTTTACTAAATAAAATACGTTTCAATAACTATATTACTTAGTAATAAGGAAAGATGTATCACGTTGTTCACTTCACGAAAAACGACTGTTGAACTTTGTAAGCGAGAAAATAAAGATTGTTTACACGATTAACAATACTCGGTACAACTTCCAAAACAAATAAACTGCCTTTCAAACATCTACAACCAAAGTCCATACCTAAATACCAATTATTGTCTCACTGGAAGAGCTTTGAAAATATACGATCTTTTATACTCTACCTTGAAGCACATGAAACACAACTCATAAATACGTGCGTTAATACCGTTAACGATAGCCGAATTTGGTCAGAAATGTCTTGAAGTAGCTTCAACACTAAAATATGAACCCTTAAACAACTGCATCACTGTACACAGCGTTTGAATAATGAAGATATTTAATATAATGTTTCCAAACACCTGTAGCCGTAATAAAAGACGAAAAAATTGTGAAGAATAAAGATGGCGGTCTCAAAGTGCCCTTGTTCGACCTTTACCAATGTCATGTTTAAGTAGATGCTAAGATCTCATTGGTTCCTAAGCATCAACTAATAGTACCTTCAACCTTATTGGCTCTTGCAACAAACATCCGAACATACAAAGTTACAAAGATACAAAGTTACAAAGCCACAAAGATAGATACGCTCACACCACTGACATATGAGCTATTTTCTCAAAATAGCTCAATAAGACGTAAACAAACGTCCTTATTAAATTCAACACACTTAAAACAAAAACTCAGCACTTGGGTATATGATGAACAAACACTTGTTTTCTTCGTAATACACGAAGAATCCACCTTATTCAATCTCAACTCTATAAACTCACAAAACACCTCTTTCAATAAGTCAGCAAAAATAGTCCGTTCGAAATAAATGCTCACAAAAGAATTTAGTGTTGTACCTATTGCTGACGGCGTATGCGTTGTAAGCAAACGAGCATTAAAACGAATACTGTGTTTTGGCCCAATAATCGACAATATTTGTAAGATCTACCTTGATTAAACATAGGCACGTTTAACGTGCATGAGCTATTTTGAATGCTTCAGTGTAACTATAATACTTCGGTGTAACCTTACCAAGAGTGATGAATCTACCTTTTTCATCCTAAATGTAGATTTGGTTTTTGTGCGAAATTGGGTATTGCGCTGCATAAATGAAAACGCGAAACGCTCAGCTGAGTCGATCCTCAACCTATGTATTCACTTTCCTCTGTCTTTCCCAATTACATCTGGTGCAAGTTAAACAAATTGCTAAAGTAAAATAAATTTCTACTCACCAAACGTTGATTAGAAGGAAAACTCTAAGGTTTCCTCGGAGTTTCTTAAGCCAAAATGTGACTCATCGAATACTGAATAGTTACGAAATACCAGGATTTTTATCATTGAGGTAGATGGTTGCGTCATCATAATTCACGAGGTTTTCACGTGCGATTCTACTCAGTGAAACAGTCTTTAACTCCGACAACTTATTTCTTCATGTTTTAAAAGCTATTGCTTCTTAAAAGGCAAGAGCCTTTTTTAAGGTATTGGTTACAAAACGAAACAGGTCTTCATACGTCCAAGTTACTATTTATTATTGTGAAAAGCCAATCTGCATGAGATGTACAGTCACACAGCTGGCACGTGAAAGTGTTGGACTTTGTCCCCTTTCGTGGTTCGTACGTGAGGGAGTTCGAGTTATCACACAATAAACTAGTAAACAGAATTATAAAAATAACTCTTGCACACAATTTGCACGTGAAGATGTTGGTCTTTGGCCCTTTTACAATTCGTCACAGATGGCACGTGAAAGTGTTGGACTTTGCCCCCTTCCGTGGTTCGTACGTGAGGGAATTCGAGTTATCACACAGTAATCGAGTAAACAGAATTATAAAAATAACTCATGCACACGATTTGCATGTGAAGATGTTGGTCTTTGGCCCTTTTACAATTCGTACTTAAAAAAAAACGCAGATTGTTTACTACAAAATTTTGTCAAGCGATTTTAAGAAATCACCTCGGCCTTATTACAACATCTGCGATTAAATTATGTTTCATGCAACGTCAAGGTTGATAGCCTGACATTTGGAAAAGAAAATTATCAAACTGCCGAAATATATATTTCTGCTCATATCATGTTACTCCACTCAATAAAGCAGTACCTAATTATTGTGTCAACTAGCTTCTTCCAATTTTATTTCCTAACGCTACTGTTTCTACCTAAGTTTATACGCATCTTTACTAAATAAAATACGTTTCAATAACTATAATGCTTAGTATGCAGGAAGGATGTATCATGTTGTTCACTTATTATTCCTTTTTGTTGTTGTTTTGCCGGAACGAAAAAGGTCTGTTGAACTTTGTAAGTGAGAGAATAATATTTCTACAGCTTGTTTACAGGATTAACAATACTCGGTACAGCTTTTAAAAAATAAGCTACTTTTTATTTTATTTATTATTTATTTATTATTTTCCCACAATAAAGATTACACAAGCATTACATTATACAAAGATGTGGCGAGGGGACCTCAGAAAACCACAAGGCTTGTACGAGGAGGCCCCCTCGTTACAATAATATTAAGCAATAGAACTATAACAACACACAACAACGGACAGTACAAGACGCATTATCGATATAGTAGAAAATCAAAAACTTTCGTTTTAAACGATTGCAATGTAAAAATCGAAGTGACTGAGTTTGGTAAAGAATTCCAAATTTTAGGGCCTTGGAACAAAATAGAAAATTGTTTGGTGTTAGTTCGGCAGGCATGAGAACGGAAATGCGAGGAACTTCTAGTATTATAAGGTTGATAGCGTAACATTCATTTCCTTCCAAGAAAATTATCAAACTGCCGAAATATATTTCTACTCATATCATGTTATTCCACTCAATAAAACAACATGCAATTAGTGTCAACCAGCTTCTTCCAATTCTATTCCCTAACGCAACTGCTTCTACTTAAAGCCTGGTTTCCATATGATTGCTACGATCGCTGTCATCGCTGACAAAAAAATAGTTCAGCGATTGTAGCGATCATAGCGATCATATGGAAATGTCTGCAATCCCTGGAAGGTGGTTTGCTTATGATCGCTATTATAGCTCCGATCGCTGAACTTTTTTTTCTCAGCCATCGCAGCCATCACAGCGATCGTAGAGATAATACGGAAACCACCCTTAAGTTATGCATCTTTACTAAATAAAATACATTTCAATAACTATATTACTTAGTAAGCAGGAAAGATGCATCACGTTGTTCACTTATTCATGTTTTAACTGCCGCAACGAAAAACGTCTGTTGAACTTTGTAAGCGAGAAAATAAAGATTGTTTACACGATTAACAATATTCGGTACAACTTCCAAAACAAATAAACTGCCTTTCAAACATCTACAACCAAAGTCCATAACTAAATATCAATTATTGTCTCACTGGAAGAGCTTTGAAAATATACGATCTTTTATACTCTACCTTGAAGAACGTGAGACACAACTCATAAATACTTGCGTTAGTACTGTTAACGATAGCCGAATTTGGTCAGAAATGTCTTGAAGTAGCTTCAACACTAAAATATGAACCCTTAAACAGCTGCATCACTGTACACAGCGTTTGAATAATGAAGATATTTAATATAATGTTTCCACTGAAACACCTGTAGCCGTAATAAAAGACGAAAAAATTGTGAAGAATAAAGATGGCGGTCTCAAAGTGCCCTTGTTCGACCTTTACCAATGTCATGTTTAAGTAGATGCTAAGATCTCATTGGTTCCTAAGCATCAACTAATAGTACCTTCAACCTTATTGGCTCTTGCAACAAACATCCGAACATACAATGTTACAAAGATACAAAGTTACAAAGCCACAAAGATAGATACGCTCACACCACTGACATATGAGCTATTTTTTCAACATAGGCACGTTAAACGTGCATGAGCTATTTTGAATGCTTCAGTGTAACCTTACCAAGAATGATGAATCTACCTTTTTCGTCCTAAATATAGACTGGGTTTTTGTGCAAAATTGGGTATTGCCGTACATAAATGAAAACGCGAAACGCTCAGCTGCGTCGATCCTCATGCTATATATTCACTTTCCTCTGTCTTTCCCTTTTCCAGATAAAAGAATGTAATAATAGGCCGCAATTATGAAAGAAGTCTATACTTTGACCCAAAAATGGGGAAATGAGGAACTTATATTCTCAGCTACAAAAGGAAATCACTTGCTTTTAAATTGATGCTTCGAATTCGTCCTCAAATTATGTACAGTGAAATTTTGGCTGGATTTTCAAAGGCTTTGAGAAAATGAGATCGGGGGGGGAGGGGGGTGGGTACTGCCTTTTATGGGCTATATAGGTATGTGCTGCTGTGAAGGATATGGTTTTCAAGACGTTTACTCTAGGATAGGGTATATAAATCAGTGCGTTTGGGTCTAGAATAGGGTATCATTTTTCAGGAAACTAATCAGTTGGTTGAAGATTTTATCTAGACTAGGGATTGTGGTATAAGGTTTTGTTTTGGCTAGCTTGTGCTAGTGTGGCCTGCGAACGGCAGACGTTTCTTCTCGCTCATCGCCGCTGAGGGACGTTTGGCGTGAAGGAACGTCTGCGACTCAGTGACAAAAATTCCATACTGATGACGTACATCAATGTTTACATAATAAAACCGGTAGTCATGGGGTTCCACATGCAAATTTGTTCAATTTTACTTTCCTCCTGGTCGATTTTGGAAAAGCGTTGTGTTCATCTGCGAATGAGCTCCAGTAAACTCAAATGCTTCTTCAAGAGAAGACTATACTCCACAAATATTGACTGTTTTGTTAGAGATTCATCGTGTTTACATTTGACCTTTGTGGCCTTTTGTCTGTCATTTGTCAATAATAGCTAGAACAATGAAACTACTCCGTCGACCAATTAGCGATTCTGACCGGATTCCGGACAGATTTTGCGTCATCAGTATGGAATTTCGGTCCCTGAGTTGCAGACGTTCCTCCTCGCGTAACGTCCCTCAGCAGCGATAAGCGAGGAGAAACGTCTTCCGTTCGCAGGCTAGTGCTAGTGACCTCGGTAGTTTCTGGAAAACAGCTACTCTAGGATAGAGGGGATTTGGGGAGTTTACTCTAGTATAGGGTAGCAAAATTCAGCTGAACTAGCTCTGGTATAGGTTAAGGGTTCCAGGTTCCCAGCGGCACATCCCCACCCAGAAATTCCTAAAGTACCCCCACCCCCGCCGGAATGAAATCCAGTCAAGTCATGAATTTGACACTCAAATTTGAATTTTAATCTGCAAACGACATAAAAAACTATGCTTTCAAGTGGTATTTAAGCTACAAACGTTAAAGAAAACAAGACGGTGGAATTTCATGCCGACGAAGACTCAATCATATCAGAGGAAATTTTCCCAGCACTTAGTTTTCTTTTCCCTTAGCTTTATCAGATGAGTCAGAAGATTCAAGAACAAGCGCAAAGTCAAGAAATCGAAGACAGGTTTTGAACGTGACTTCAGCAACCATCAATATGCATGACGTGCGTCAAGAAATCACCAAACAGTTTGAACAACTAATGCCCTCCAACTACTGTAAGTCACAAGAGAGGGTATGCCCTGTAGGTCCCCCCGGACTTCCTGGTCCCATTGGTGTACGAGGACCGCGTGGCAGGAGGGGACCTACAGGAAAGAAAGGTAACCCAGGTAGCTTTGGACCACCTGGAAAATCAGGAATGGCTGGACTTCCAGGATCTAGAGGAGAAAAGGGTGATAAGGGCGAACCAGGAAATCCGGGACCACCTGGGAGGCCTGGAGAATCAATATCTGCTCCACAAGTGATGGTATCACCTGCAAATCACACTAGAGATGAAGGAAGAACTACGGTGATTTATTGTACGGTTGGAGGAAACCCTACTCCTACTGTCGAATGGCGATTCAAGGGCAGAAAGCTCCTGTCGGGAGCAAAGTATTTGGTTGAAAAAGCAGAGCTGATCATCAGAAATCTGAATTACAGCGATGCTGGGCAGTACAAATGTGCGGCAAGAAACATTCTTGGATCGTCTGAGGCGTCTGGTGATTTAAAGGTTCGAGGTAAGAAGAACAATAAGCTTTACTACTTTGAAAATTGAAAACCCTTTTGCAAGGCCGCTGATGTGCCACCAGAATTTTTTCTTATCAATGTCAGGGATGGGCCATGTTTCCTGGCTGATTGCTTATCTTATTAAACGTGTTTTGCAATAGGGTTCTGTTACATTGCTATTGAGGGAGCAGGAAGTCCAGGAGGGCGACTACCACTATAAAAAGGGTGATGGTGTGTGTTAAAAGTGTGCGTGATGATCGTAAGCAACGGATAGAATTAAACTCTCGTAGGAGATCTATCAGAACGTAGCTCAAGCTTTATTTGTCAAGTCAGCCAATGAAATAAGAGATTTTAAGAAGATTTCTTGCAATGAAGATGCTGTCATTAAATGATTTAATGATTTCTCTTTTTTCTTCGTCTCTTAGGTCTTCCGATCTTTACCAAAAAACCCTCACCACTGGTCTCAAAAATGGAATCCACTCAAATACAAGAAACCTGCCAGGCAGAAGGGTATCCACCTCCCAAGTTGACCTGGATCAGACTTGTTATGCCTTTACCTGCTGGAAAGACCGAAATTAAGGAAGGTAAACTAACTATCAGGAATTTACGACCAGTGGACAGCGGTTTGTATCAGTGCGTAGTAACAAACAGCTTAGGAACCAAGAAGGCCACGATGAACTTGTTTGTGCAAAGTAGACCAGCAGGTTTGTATATAGCACGTTATGCCGACCTTATATATCATGATCAGTAAAAATATAGAACACCTAAACTCGCGTAAAGAAACTAAACAAGCGGATAAAATGAACTATTAATAATAAAAACGCTTAATTAACGCACGGAAAAAGAAAAAACAAAACGATTTCTGAAAAATTGTTACACTTTGATCTAACAGAATGTGACACGAAAATGACGTCATCGCACACTGCACCTTTAAACTTGCACTTACACCTACAGTCACACCTGTGGACCCACAAATTGAAGCCTCCGTATGTCCCTTGTTTCTTTAGTTCGAATTAAGTAAACTTATAACGTTTGTAACAGAGCACGTTATGTACCATAAAACGGTGCTACAAGGCTGAATCAGCAGACATCCATCTTGCAAAGTATGTACCAGTGCGTCTCAACAACGAGGAAGCATAAAATTCCTCCCACAATTTAAGGTCCACAAAGGATTTGTTCGGGCAACGACGTTTGTAAAGCAAGGATATCGTGCTCCATCACTCCCAATAAGCAGAGTCAATTCACCTTGGCAGAGCACGTATGTTATACAACGTACAATGGTGCCTTAAGGCTGAAAAATCTGAGTCTCTCTACCCTTTCTTTCCTTCAGCTATCGAAAAAACAATAACACCAACACAAACAAACAGACAAATGAACATTACGAATAGTTGAACACGTGATTATTTTTTTCCTAGCTAACTGTGATTGCTATCGCAGCCGGCTCGGAAGCTTGCCAGGAAGTGGCTGGGTATACTTTGTCGGGAAAGTTGACGCAATCGATTTCCAGACAAGTGGTGACGTTATTCTCTCAGGGTACCGTCTGTGGGGAGTCAACAGCGGCTCAACTAGTTTCCGGGTCACGATTCGTTTGTACCGTAGAAGCAACTTGATCGCTCAAAAGACTGGGTCCTATGCTACCAGTTCCAGTGTCAAGACGTTTGAGATGCATTTTTCCCAAGTGATTTCGATCCGAGCTGGTGTCACATACACTGCAACAGCTAGAATAGTTACAAGTAGAAAGTCCTTTTATCTCACGCATGGGCGGGCAAGTGCCTCTTGTTCTGGTGTCACAGTAAACTTCAAGTCCTCCTCAAAAGACTCAAACGGTTCAAGCCAGTCGGAAGGTCAAATACCAGCTTTAATTTTCCGTTCATCTCAGTGCTAAATAGCCATGTGAGAAAAGAAGGAAGGAATTCTTAAATTCTGTAAAACATTGAGGAATAACGACTGTAAAGTCAATGTCCACATAGCAGCCTAGCAATACTGATAATTTAGTATGAGAAAATAGAAGGGATTCCCGTCACGAGTTGGTTTAAGTATTGACTTGCATTAAACCTATGAAAAAATGATATTTTTTTAATAGTAAGTAGATTTAGTGGACACGCGTGAAAAACGCAGTGCGCATGCGTGCCTTCCCTGCTTCCGGCGAGAATTTGCATGTGCCTCCCCCAATCGAAATTATACGCGATACCAAAACAAACTAGATTCCGGCCGCGAAATTCAAAAAAGTAAGCTCCACACACAAAAGATAAGCTTAGAATTTCACGAACACAAAGTTTATTAATTGCTTTAGTTTCTCTCTTTTGCACCACATACTTTCCTCCTTGCACCAAAGGCGAAAATCATGTTTGAAAGTCCACGCTCGCTCTGGTAGTACTTCGCCGTAGCCATTGTTGCTGTTTTGGTCATCATGTCGCTGAGCTCGGTCAATGTGAACAACGAAAACGACCAATGCATGCTAAGTGGAAAAACAAGGACGGAAAAACCTTGTACTGGACGACTTTACCAGTTAGTTAAGTTAGTTTAAGTAATTTTTTGTTGTGCTTAATACTAGACCCGGCTGCAAACCATTAAACATATCAAACATTCCTAAGTGTTTTTCAATTTAAATAGGGAAGATTTTGCAAATTTTAATTATTGAAAATAGAGACCTTGCGCATGCGCAGACGTTTTGCACGCGTGTCGATTTAGTGTGTAGCACTTCTTGATTTTTTTGCAAAGGCATAAGAAGCTCGAGAATTGATTAAAAATTGTGAGTTAAACCTCTACGCATCACGCGATGGCCTGTCTCACTGTACCAAAATTATCATATCTCGGTGAGCATTCGGAAGTCAGCCAAGCGCGGTCATTGCTCGCGTGCTGAACAAGAATGCTGTATCATGACAGACTAGAAACAACAGACAACTCCCAAAGCACAAACTCAGCCAAAACGCTAAAAATCTTCAATGTTTACTCAAGTTTGGGCTTATAGAAGACAATGTCACAGTTTTTCAATGACCATGAAATTCAGAGTCCGGGTAGTTAGTTAATCAATTGTGGTCCTGAAAAAATTTGAAGGAAAAAAAACTACGAATTTTTACGAAAATGCTTCTTTTGTGAGAAGGACTCTTAAACGCTGGCAAACGTCAACAAATAGCGAAAACTATAATTTCTATATGTTTGCTTTGCTCAGAATCGCGCGCATTTACAAGGCCCTAAAGCGTTTTGCTGACTTGCAAGGACCCATCTGTTATAACAGTCCCCAAAATAAAGGGATAAGTCTCATAGTTTATTAGATATAATCGTGTAAAGTTTGCGTATCATTTTCGCATAAATTATGACCTAAATTTGGAAACCGCTAAATTTCTCGAATTGGGTCTTTGCGATTTTGGTGAAACTCTGTTCAGCGCAAGGCACGAATGCGCACTATGTGTAGCCGAGAGATTTTCACGAAAAAATGCTGGCAACAGCAGATTTTCGACTCAGACCTCAAAGGTCCGTGGCATTATAACTACGTGACATTTACTCCGATCGCCAAAAATTTTATGTTATATTGTAGGTTGATCTATATGTTATCCATTCTATGTGTTAGACTTACGATAAAAGTAAAGGTGGGGATACCAGAGAGTTTCAAAGTAGGATGGTACACCCCCCAAAAAACTGGGTCGAGTCACCTTAAGTAGCCCATGTTGCGGCCCCAGTATATCCTAGTGACCTAGTATTATATGTAGTCAAATAATCCTACCATTGAGGATATTTCGTTAACAGGCGTTCCGTATTTGACAAATGGAGTCTCGAAAGACGAAAGGCGGGGAATACGATTTTGGGGGACCTAGGTGACACGTGTTTAATACATATTACTAGGGTATCTAAAAGATAGTAATGCTGCGGCTCATTTTGTTGATACTGGCATTAGTTAGGCAGTGAGACTTAAAAGAATCAAAAATGGCATTGAATGTCCTATTTACATGTTGGAAAGTACTAGAATAATTACTATCAGTCTATAGAAAGAACTCGAGGGAACGTTGTATAGAAAATGATCAAGTGGTTATCAACTCTGGTTTTCCCACAGTAAATTGTAGGAAATAATAGAAATTCAGATTGTTTATCCATATATTTAATATACGGTGCACGATATTTTCTCTGGAAACACAATACTTTTCTTGCTGTTTGTTGCACTTTATTAAGTAACAGTTATTTAGCTATATATTTATAGAAAACAACAACACAAAAAAAGGTAAAAAAAAGAAAGTCGGAACAAATAATTCGGCAGGACTCGAACCCGGCACCGTCGACTCGATGCGACTACACCTAACCACTACACCACAGAGGCTGATTACATACTCTTTGGGAAGAGTCTTTCATTTTATTCCTTTTGCATGAAACTTCCGCCGGCAAGATGATCGCCAGCCGCATTAACCGAGCTATTAACAGTGAAAAAACAATGTAAACGCATATTCCATGGCAATGAATGAATGAAAGAACATAATTATGCTTTCAAAACGCCGATACACGTCTTGGTCTGCAAAGTAGGACACAAAACATATGTTTTGTTATCTCGATTTCCGCTGTTGTTTTGAAGCGAATGGTCAAAATCACATCCATTTTCGGCTCATGCAGTTTCTTAAGAATAGCATTGCATGACATTTTCTCACTTTCACATCACCTTCTAGCAAGCTGGAATCCCCCCGTGTTGCGGAGTCGAAGAGCAAATGCTCATCTTCTCGTCAGGTTTAACACCTGGACGAGTCAAAAGCTCTTGATTGAAATCCAATCCCCAAGTTAACCATCGTACTCATCTGAAAGACTCCTGCGTGTCTTAAAATTTGGTAAGACCTCTAACCGTGCTGTATAACTGAGCAGCGAACGATGCACTACTTCCCCGTGTTTTTATTTGAGTTGTTCTTAGCGCAATGCACTCTGGTTAAATGCAATGCATTGTGGTAAAAAGTGTGGTTAAATGCAATGCACTGTGGTAAAAAGTGATGAATTCGAGAATTCGTCGCCTCTTATATATTTCCTTTAAATCCTGATTATGTTGCTGCTCGCTAGCTTCGGTCGCTCCGCAGCAATTATTCATTCAAAATATTTCCCCGATTCTGATTGGCTAAAAGCACACGCATAATTCACCATAACCGGTTACTGATGACCAAATTTGGAAGAATTTTGTGTTTAACGAGGAAATGACGTCAAAAATGCAGCGTTCTTGCAGGTTAATGAACCATTAACCGAGAAGACCTGGGGACGAGGTTGAGTTGTTTTGGTTCTGAAAACAAACAATGGCGAACGTTTCACTCGCTTCTGAGAGTAAGAACTAGGCGAAATTATAGCTAAAAACATGGCAAAAACAGCAAGAACACAACTTGAAGGGCGACATCTTCTGTTTGGAGAATATTTGCAGAGCTGAGCAACCCTAAATGTGCACTATCGAAGATGAACTTAGCATCGGTGGATCGATGGAGGTATATAAGAATGTTTTAGCCATGTTTTTAAACTAGGAATTATTTTGAATGAATAATAAAACAATTATTGAATTCGGCTTTCGTATCATATGAAGAATTATCAGGAGATCTCGGAGGGTGTTATCCGCCTCGGCCTACGGCCTCGATGGATAACACCCTCCTCGATCTCCATAATTCTTCATAAGATACTCAGCCTCATTCATCAATTGTTAATTGACGTTTGACGTTGTTTCAGTGACAAAGACAGCGGAGCCAGGGAACTGGCGGGCTCAAGCTATTGCTCCGAGATATGTTGCAGCACACGTCGAGTTTTGTAAAGCGTTTCGTGTCCTTAGCCCTCCCCGGGGGGTACCTCTGGGAATTCTTGGTGGGGGTGTGCCGCCCGGTTCTTCAAATTCTGACCCGATTTCGGACCAAAAAATGTAATTTCCCACACCCGTTTTCAGACTAGACCTCTAAAATCCATACCCGTTTTCAGACCTGGCCTTTAGGTAGAAAATATGTTATCATTACTTAGATTAGAGTGCAAACAAAAAAATCATTCAAATCCATTTCGAATTCGCATATTTGTCTTTCTTTCTCACTCATTTGGAATTGAAATGATAAATACGCTCATACACTCCTGTAGCTCCCTCGAAAACCATACCCGATTCCAGACCAAAATGGGAAAAGCGTAAACCCGTTTTCAGACCAAAACGGCGCAAAAACCCTACCCGATGGGGCGGCACATACCTGTATGGTTTATATAAGGGAGTACCCCCCCCCCCGGACTTAGCCGGTACGTATCAAAAAGAGGCTTATAGATTCGAGGACGAGGACGACTATGAGGACAAGAATTGATTTAATAATTTTATTCGCCTAATCCAAAAATGGGCGCCTCAGAAACCTGCATATAACTTTATTTCACCAGAACGGTTATCAAGATTATTTTTATTGAAGGACCTTTAGCGTTCTCCTGATCGCAAAGTGACAAAACCTCTAATATTCAATAACTTTTTTCCGCTACCAAGAGATTCTTACGCAAACCTGTACCCGCTTTGTAATCGAAATGTCTCTACTGCCTAGTTGAAAATCCTTTACTCTTTTTGGTAGCGATTACCAAAGATCCGTCCGCCCGGCTGCTAAAATAATCAGTGAAACATCAGTGTAAAAAGTGATGTAGATGAGCCAACTGAATGTGCATTAATTACTCGCTTTGTTTTGGTTTGTGATTTATGGATGTATTTTGAGTGTGTAACGCTTTTAATATGCTGGAGTAAACCTTTTTTTAGATTTAAGTGTTGTACACTTTCTCCCGTAAAGTAGTTCATTTCATACTTAAAAAATCTCACACTTACCTGACTTGTCATAACGCGTTCTCTTACTTTGTCCCTGGGGTAGGCGTTGTGGAGAGGTTCGACTGAACAAAAAATTTTGCGGCAATTTGTGTACATGACGGATTGTG